AGTTTTATGATGAAAAAAAAAACTCTTCGAGTTTTCACTTTTAGATTTTTCAGTTTTTCGATTTTCCAACTTGGGCCTTTTAATTTTCAATTTTTCATTTCTTCAATTTTTCGATTTGGAATTTTTCGATTTTTCAATGTTATTATATTGCAGTCCTTCTTTATTTCGATGTGAAATTTTCCAATTTTTGGATTTTTTTTTTTCGATTTGCGATTTTTCCGTTATTCAACTTTAATTTTTTTTAATTTTTCGTTTTTTCAATGTTTGATTTTTTGTTTCTTCAATTTTATGATGAAAAAAACTCTTCGAATTTTCATTTTTAGATTTTTCAAGTTTACGATTTTCCAACTTGGACATTTTAATTTTTTAATTTTGCAATTTTTAAATTTTTTATTTCTTCAATTTTTCGATTCGGTTTTTCATTTTTTCGTTCTGCAGTTTTTTGGTTTTTCAACTTTTAGATATTTTCATTTTCATTTCTTCAATTTTTGATTTTTTATTTCTTCAATTTTATGATGTGCAACTCTTCGAGTTTTCAGTTTTAGGTTTTTCACTTTTTCGATTTTCCAACTTGGACGTTTCAATATTTTTGTATTTTGCAATTTTTCATTTCTTCAATTTTTCGATTTGTAATTTTTGTGTTTTTCAATGTTATGATTTTATAGTTCTTTTTTCAATGTGAAATTTCTCAATTTTTGGATTTTTCAGCTTTAGATGTTTTAATTTTTCGTTTTTTCAATTTTAGATTTTTCAGTTCCTTCTTTTTCAGTTTTCATTTCTTCAGTTTTTAATTTTTTGTTTCTTCAGTTTTTGGATTTTCCAACTTGGACCTTTTAATTTTGCAATTTTTCAATTTTTCATTTCTTCTATTTTCCGATTTTTCAATGTTATTATTTTGTAGTCCTTTTTCTAAATGTAAAATTTTTCAATTTTTGGATTTTTCAATTTTTCGGTTTTTCAACATTTAAACATTTTTTAATTGTTCCTCTTTTCAATTTTTGATTTTTTGTTTCTTCAATTTTATACTCTCCGAGTTTTCATTTTTAGATTTTTCAGTTTTTCGATTTTCCAACTTGGACGTTTTAACTTTCTAATTTTACAATTTTTAAATTTTTTATTTCTTCAATTTTTCGATTTGGTTTTTCAACTTTTAGATATTTATTTTTAGATTTTTCAGTTCATTCTTTTTTCAATTTTTGATTTGCAATTTTTCAAATTTTCGTTTTTAAATATGTGATAAAAATATGTAACTTTTAAAATTTTTCACTTTCACAATATCACGTTTTTCGATTTTTTAAATTATTGGACTTCTCCATTTTTATTTTTTCAATTTCTGCATATTTCATTTTTCAATTTTTCGATCATTGTTACACTTTTTCGACTTTACAATCTTGACGATTTTATAATTTTTCGATTTTTAACTTTCTCGATTTTTAGTTTTTCAATGTTTCAATTTTTCGTTTCTTTAATCTTCGATTTGCAATTTTTCGATTTTCCAGTTTTCGAGTTTGCAATTTCTCGTTTTCTGGTTTTTAATTTTTCGATATTTCAATTTTTCAATTCTTTAACTTTTCGAATAAAAATTTGAAAAACAAAAGAAAACACATCGACAAATTGAAAGAATAAAAATTGAGAAACTTAATAGAAAAAGTGCAAAACAGAAAAAACGTGAAAGATTACGTGTATAATAAAAATTCATACAGACAGACAGACGGAAACGAGACACTACTAAAAAACCAAATTTTATCAAAATTATCAGGATTTTTTGAATTACAGAGATTTAAATAAAGTCCTGTATAATTGCTCGTGAGACGGAACTGATATTAATATCATCAAGAAATGTTTCTCTGCGATTCGTTCATTTTTATTTTTAACTTGATCTTCTTAGGTTGTCTAAATTAGACGAAACTTTCCTCGCCCCTGAAGTAAAATCAAACAAATCTAGTTTCTTAGATAAATTATGAAGTTAGATTTTGCCAATTTTATTATTTTATAATGACCTCTAAAAGTTAAAAAAAGAACAGGTGTGGATTGTTCACTATGGGTGTGTTTCAAGTTATTCATAATAAAACTTTGTAATCATCGACTTTTTAACAAGGACAAGAAAAATGACAAAAAAGGCGACAAAAAAAGGTGAAAAAAACTGTCGCAAAACAATTCCAAAAAAAGACGTCTACAAAAATTTACCAAAAAATAAGGCAATAAAAAAGGGGCCAAAAAGAAGATGTAACAAAAATCATTAGAAAAAAAGAAAACTCGCTATACAAAATTCTATAGAAAAGACAACTGTAACTATGACAAAAAAGATTATAAAAAAGGACCAAAAAACGCGCAAAAATATCCAGAAAATAAAAAGAGACGCCAAAAAAGTAACAAAAAAAAAATACAAAAGTGCGAAATAAAAATGTCCTAAAAGATGTGGCTACCAGAAAGAAGTCGAAAAGGTCACAAAAAGTACAACAAAAAAGATAATGAGAAAAGGACAAAAAAAGCGATAAAAATGCCAAAACGCCAAAAGAATCCATGAAAATTGAAAAAAAAAGATCGCTATACAAAATAATTAAAAAGTAGCTCAAAAACACAACAAAAAAAATGCACCTGAAAGAAAGCAATCAAGAACGTCGACAAAAAAGGTCGCAAAAAGGAGAATAAAAGAAATGCCACAAAAATGACGAAAAATCTGCAAAAAAGGATGCAAAAACAGTGGACAAAAAAAATCATCAAAAAATATGACTACAATAAGATGTCAAAAAAGAACAAAAGGACAGACGCCAAAAGAATCCATGAAAAATGAGAAAGAGGCTACTATAAAAAATGCCTAAAAAAACGGGCTAAAAACCGCAACAAAAAAATGTGCTTAAAAGAAGTAAATCAAAGAACGTCGACAAAAAAAGTCGCGAAAAACGGTGCAAAAGCAGAGGAAAAAAATCGACAAAAAAAGTCAAAAAAAGGACAAAAATGGTAGCAAAAAATTTAACAAGAAAAAGGTGGTTGAAAAAAATAACGAAAAAAATCAACAAAATGTCACAAAAACAAAAAAATCGTGTGTAGAGGTATGTTGTTTTAGGAAATTTAATTAATTATGAAAAATTTTAAGCTGACGGCATCAAATTGTTAGTCAGACAAACATAAACAGGAGACCTGATTTTCATACTCTAGCGGTCATGAAACATCAAGAAAATGTGCAAGTACCCGTTCGTCTGATGTACAATAATTCCCCAACTTCTACTCAGAGAGTAAAAATAAATTTGTTCTCACAAGTTATACAATTTACATCAGAAATTAAGTAACAGAAATTTCATTTACTTACGAACAGTGAATTAGGAATTTTTATTAGACATTTTCATTCATCTAAAAAAATTGACTACGTCACCTAAAAAATTATAACACATCTCTTCAAATAACTTAATATCTCCATTTTTAAAAATCACAGAACGGTTTACTTATTTTTAAATATAAACATTTTATCAAAATAAAAAAAACTGTTTTTGTTTTTCTTTCCCAGTTACATTCAAACTGTGCATTTTAAAACAAATATTAAAAAGTGTGAAGAAACGGCTATTCTTGAGCACTATCTATATTATTGTTGAAAGTCTTACTTTTACGTATTACGTATCTAAATATAGTGAGAATAAACAATAAAATCAATCTTTGATTGCGAAATAAAAAGTAACACGTGAACAAAGAACAGACGAAAATTTTACGATTTATTTTTTGTGGATCAACGAAAACTTTCAAACACACCTGAGAACCACGTTATTTTTACTGATAACAGTTTTATATTAAAAAAAAAATGTGAAATTCACCGTTCTAAACCATCTACTACTATCACGCAAATAGCAAACGTCATAGCTTTGAACTTTTTTAATGCATACCAAATAAAAAATTAAAAAAAATAAATTTCGCCACTTTCTCGTGAAATTATCAGAATGTGCGCGTTTATCAACGCGAATTTCATACTACTTCAAGATAAGAAAATATTTACATAGATTTACATTTTTGCAATATTTGGCAATGAGTAAATTATTTTCATCACATTGTTTCTGTAGACTCAGTTCTCGAAGGAATAATATTTTACATGAGATTAAAATATAAATAAGATGTTATTCAACTGAGCAAATGTAGTAAACACTGTATGTTTAAAAAGCAAGTTTTTACTGAAACTTTAAGTTCAGGTATCAGGTGGCTTAAGTCATGCAGAAAATGAATGCACACCTAGTAGCCATCACTTGTGCGACGAATAAACGAGTCCTAAAATCCAATGTAAAACTCGCTTATTTAGATACCAAAACGTTGTCAGCAGCTCGCATTTTATGACTCTTTTTAGATTAGCATCGCATAAAATTATCTATCATAATAAAATCAGATCAACCGATTTAACGACCCACTGAAGATTTTTCCTCTTTTATAGTGGCATTTTTGTCGAAACGTCTCGCAAGCACCCAATTAGCGCGCATTGATCAAATGCCTGTTATTTTACGACTCTCATGACATTTTTCACGTCGTTTCCAGAAATGAAAGGCGATTAAAAATAAAGTCAAAGCAAGCAGCTCCAAATAAAAAGCATTATCACGCTCAACCACCGAAAGGGCAAACCGCAACACAATTTATGCAGCCACATAACAATTATCTCAGACACGATAATAGCCAAGCTCGCTAGTCAAGTCGGCTGTACACTTAAATCTTTCACTTGTTTCTTGGAGGAGAGAAGCAAAGTAGGCCGTGAAGAGCAGTGCCAACATTGAGTCGATAGCAATCGTCGAGCACGGTACGTTTCGCGCTGGCTTAGCACTTTCAGCCCGAAAAGTCAAAATTTTGCCGAAAGCGACGAGTTTTTCGAAAACACTGTGCCCGGACGGCGGATGTAGCAAACGTTGAGCATTTTGTGCGATTTGTGCCCCCAATATGGTTCTACTTTCGAGGGAAGCAGACATGGAAGAAGCGGTAAGTGGAATTTTTTTGAATGTCGAGCACGACTCTCGGTTTTATCTCGCCCAAAGACCCAGAGGTCAGATTTGGGTAAAAATATCGCGCGAGGTGCGATAAGAATTTTAATTTTGTTGCTATGTAATCAGGATTATTTGGCTGAGCTTCGCGATGATGTGGCGTTTCGGTACAACAATAGGGTTTTCCCTCTTCCGTTCTGTTATGGTTCAAAAATTTTGGCAAATTTTGGGCTGCGAAAATGTGAAGGTTACCGCGTTCCGACAATGGAAGGTTTTGACATTGTTCGTTTTTCTACTCGATTAAAATGCAAATTGCCAAGCACGACCATAAATATCACCGCGGAGATAATAACTATATTTATTACTTCATGCGAGTAATTACGTTTTAATTGGAACAATACATCCAGGTGCTTACGCAACTAGACCCGTTCCAGCCACCAAAATTTCGATTTTCTGTGACTCACGCGGTTTCACGGAAACCACTAGCGTCATCACCATTGTGAAACCGAAATATCCAAGAGATCCTTGTCGAGGTGACCACTTTCTCCGTGACGAAGAGGCGGTCGACGACTGCACCATATTCGATAACGAAAATAACAATAATATGATGACCCTTGGAGACGCACGACCTCCTACAAGAGGACACCCGACTCCTCAGGGTGTGTCCGCGATTTCCTGTGCAGTTCCAGCGAATTCCAAAATTGTTACGAAATGCAGGCACACGTGCAGTGAGAGGCAGTCCGATCACGTCTTCTCGGGAAACCCGTTGCCTTGGAGCCTGATGGACGCGCCTCCAGTCCATGTCCAAAATCGCGTTTACGTAACTCTCGGATTTTCCCGGAGAAAGTCCTCGCGACGAATTTCGAAAATATTTGCGCTCCTTGAGCACAAATTGTGCTAATCAACCCGCGCATTAGTTTTTCCAGCGCCGCTTAATTGCGGAATAAATTAAAATTCACATTTCGGTACGATCGCGTAAAGCTCAGGTGACGTAATAGGCAAGCAATGAAATTTCCGAGTAACAAAGGTAGCAGATACGTCTCGCCGCGATCCCGAAAAGGATAAAAGAGTGACGTAGCACCTTCCTTGACAATGCAGTGAATCGAGGATATTTTGACCAAGGTGAACCAAAAGATAGATAGAGAGGGAGCATTCCGAATTTTTAGATGTTAGACTAAGAAGGAAGTTAGTTGGGTCCGTGGTTCGGGTTTGTGCACATCTTGGGTGCGTGTGCGTGAGGTGATTTTGTCGCGGGAGATCAACCTGAGGAACAATGAGGAGGAATAATGGTAATTTTCGGTTTTGATTGGATTTTTAAATTAGCGAAAGCAAGGTCACCGCGGCGATTATTCATGTAGAACATTTACAAATTTAACAAAAATGGTACTGCCTAAAAGAAGTGACCAGTCTAGGCACAGCCGTCACGGTCTTAACCCCCGAAGTCATCGAACCTGAGCAGTCGGTATCGTAGTACCAAAAGGATAGCCACCATGTACGTACCCGATTTCGGTTTATCGGTGTCGTACCTCCATCCATAAACGCCCGCCAAGCAGCCGCACAAACTAGTGCACCCTAACCCTTAACCCTTAAGTTATCGCACAACACAGGACTGGTACCATGTACGTACTTGTTTAATTTACTCTTTGTATCACCACGCTTCACCAAAGTACCTTTTTTATCTATTATTTACGCCCATACTTTACCGAAAATATGTCCACCTTTAACCTTAACCTCTACAACCGTGACACTTGAGCAGCTAGTATAGTACTAGCAAAATTATAGCCTTAATCCGTAAGGTCATTGATACCTCAAAAGGGAACAGAGAAGTACCGAAAGCTCTGACGTCTCGCGAGCGCCCAATTTAGTGGTACTTCCCCCAACAGGTGTCTGCGAATCTGGCGGCGTCAATAATTTGCCGAAAATATGTCTTCATTGTTATTCTAATCTAAATTTATCCCTCGCGCGTAAATATAAAGTAAAATAAACAAAAGCAGATGGCTCGAACGTCACCAAGTCAGTATCAAAAACCATTCTCGATCCGCAGTCTTCATTCAGCCATCTCAAGAGGTATGTTGTTTGTATCCTTGGCGATTTTCCTAAAGAATCAGGATGTGACATTTTTATTGGCGATATTTATAGCAGTAGCAGATTTATTATTAATTAATTAAAACCTACGAATTTTTGCGAGAGTCGATGATTCATATTCAATTAAGATGAGCAAAGACATTTAACCAAGCTTCGAATGAGGAAATGTGTAGAATCGACCTCGGCCAAATTCAGCCTTAAACACACACATAATAAGAGTCGTGTTGAAGAGATCACCGGCCTCGGTGATTGTTAATGTCATATCTATTTTTGGGTACCGTTCTCCAATTAACCAAGATTTGTTATAGAGTGTTTTGTTGCAGATGCCACAAACTGTTCCATCAGCTGGGTTCACCCCACCATGCGACTACACGAATTACGCTGACAACTTCGACTTGTCCCTCCTTCCGGGTGGTGAGCAGCTGGACCCATCCCTCAGTCAAAGTTTCGACAAAGTCCAACCCAAGATCTACACCACGTTCTACCCCAACTCACCCCAACAAGACGACTTCCGCCCGGATTTCCAGACCCTGCTGGTGCCAGACGACGAGAAGTCGCAGAATTCGTACCTGGAAGTACCGCCGATTTTGTCCCCGAACTCGTACCGGCAGTCCAGCGAGGCCAACTTTTACCCCAGCTCTCCAGAACTCTCGCTGTACACCCCGTCCCCCAGCTCGCACTACTCGCAGTCGCCGGTCGATGATTTTTTCCACTACGTCAAGAAGGAACCCTATCCCAGTTCTCCCTATTCCTATCGGGTCAAAGAGGAGAACTTTCTCTCGCCTTGCGGGTTTTCGTCACCGACGAGTCCTGCCACCAGCTACTCGAGCTTATCGTCACCCGAACAAATAAACATACAACAAGCGGAGAACAGCGACGTATTAGAATTGCTGGAAAACACTGTCTTGGATAAACAAATCAAGCAAGAGAGTACGGTCGATTTCGGGAACCTCTTGAGTAGTTTCCAGGATTCGGAAAGCTTAAGACGGTTGCTGGAAGACGACTTCAAGGAAAGTCAGCCGGAGGCTGAGGTGTCTAAGCCCAAGGACCACCAATTGTTGCGGGAGGTCTTGCGGGACACCAGTTTCCAGAAGAAGTTTAACATCAGGCCCATCGATTTTGGGTTCATCGGGGGCGAGATCAAGATGGAGGAGCCCGACGAGAGCGCACAGAGGGAGTTGATGAGGGAGAACATAGAACCGGTGTTCAATCTAGCGATCGAGCAGATGAAGAAAGACGTGGACACCACTTGTACGGCGCTCGGTATCTCTCCAGGTGAGTTAGTTGTTAGTTAATGGCTCCACCCATCATTTTTTCCCAATGGGTTAAGAACAATGGTTTATTTATCACGAAGCGGTGACCTTGCGCTACCACACCTAACATTCTATAAGAAGTACAGATGAATGTTGATAATTTGTACAAACGTAACGCATGACGATTGGGATATATCCATTTGTGTGGGTGAATGTGGAATAATTTAGCGGCGTAATTCCGTCTCTAAAACACTACCACCTGAAGGTTAAGGAGTGTCGATCGACTTTTATTAAAAACCGGTCCAGTTATTTTGACGATTTTCGCAAATTTGAACTTTGCACGCATTGGTTTACGTGTCTATTTTCGATATCGGAGCATTTGAGCTATTTTTAAGCACTTCTTTCTACAAACAAGAGAAATCTAAATACCAGTCAGTTTCCACTTGGATTTTTCTCGTTTCGTGAAAGTAAATATTGATCTGGATGCATGTATTAAACGGTTTTTTAGTCGTACTTGGCCTTAATTGCAGATCCCACGCAATGGAGTGCCGCTGATGTCTTGTCGTGGTTGCAGTGGACTTCCAGACAATTCGGCCTGGCTGAACCTCTTCCCGAACAGTGGGAGATGAACGGCTCCAGTCTGGCAGCCTTGTCCGAGGAAGATTTTACGAGGCGGTCACCGCAGGTACACAATTTTACTTTCATGTGTGTTGGCATGGGTGTGAAAAATTTAGGTCGTCTCGAGTGAGGTGAACATAACGGTTTCGACGACGCGACTCACAAACAGAAGAGCTCGCAAACAAGCTCTTGTAAACAGACTAATTGCTGTATTAATTTTAACCAGTGCGTAATTCTGACTATTACTACCTTAGTCACGATGTGGGAAAATGCATTTCGTAACGACGGTGCGTCATCCAATGACATTCGTTGCGGTTGAATTTAATTTCTAATTGAGAAATCTCGTACAAGAAGCAATTTTAACGCGTTCCTGGGGCAATGTCATCGGACGTCCTTTACTCGGTGCATCCATCGAGGACCTATCGCTGTTCGCCGCCCGAGAGAAAGTCTTTCCAAACTGACCTACTTGACCAAATAAAAAAACATGGAATGTGTTTTAATGGATGCTTGTACAATAATTACACTGTTATTAATTCGGTCGTTCTACCTGGCATCATTGTAGTCTCAAAGCATACCCGTTTGCCGAGTCATTTGTATTCTTGTTGCTAGCGTTGACCTTTCGATCTTAGAATTTCAACACCTTCGCTGAATATTTATTTTTATGCGGATTTTCAGGGCGGAATGATCCTGCATGCCCAGCTGGAAATATGGAAAGCAGCCTATTCGGAAGAGGACCTTAGCATGAAGTGGCAACCGGAGACCACGTCCAGTAACGCGTCCAGTGGGGACATGTCGGATGGTAAGTTCGATCATCGGAAATTTACCTTTACTTTTGACACATCGTAACTATAAGCGTGCGCTCGAGGTCAAAACCGAGGACACTAGTAAAATATTAAAACGAAAATAGAAGATGTAAGAAAATATGGAATTTCCATAAAAATGTAAATGTAAACTTTACGTGATTTATTTTTAGCGAGGCATGGATATTAACATTTAATTTTGCTCGGTACATCATGCGCTTATTTTAAGCCAAGTTTACATCAAGAAGGCGACCTTGTTTTAGCAGCTGATGCCCGCGGTTCACACCAGATTTTCACCATGCGGTACTTCGCCTAAACAAAAGTCACTCAAGTCGACCATACACAGGGACTTTAGTTTCTTAATTCGTTGTATTTCAACAACGCCACCTAGTTTGCTGATTTTGGAACATTTTAGTGGAGCAGTCACTAAACCGAAGACGCTCTTGAAGAGTCGCCATAAAAATAAATCATCAGATAATGAGCATCGTGCATAAATTACTCAGCCGTCTCAAAAAATAAATTTAATCATAATTAAACCAAATTAGATTTTTTGCGTTGCCATATTTCATCCATCTCCGGTTAACAACCAGTTTAATCGATCCGGCAAGACTTTGGCAAGTTTGGCATACCTCCTCGGAGCTTTAAATATTAAAAACATTACTTATTTATGAAAATTGTCCGATTCCAGTTTAGCACCACTCTAAATTAGACAATGGGTTGGCCAAAAAACTGGCCAAACGAGAATCTCGAATTAATGAGTTAACATTTAACCTATAGAGTCAGCGCGCTATCTTCCATCAATACGTATCCAATTTCCTCAACTTCTGCAACTATCGCGAGTCAATCTGACCCTTCCGAAGAATGTGAAAGGTTAAAAGCGCACGTTTCTCGCCACATTTATGGCGTTAATACCATTTACTAAACTCGTAATAAAATCATATCTCTTAAACTGGTCGCCCTTGAAATTTACCTACGTTCCTTTTACCACAGTCTTTGTGTTGCAGATGACGATGAGGAAGCTTCTTCATCTCAGGCCGATCCGACCAGACCCACGACCTCGAGAGCGGGGGGTTCCCATATCCATTTGTGGCAGTTCCTGAAGGAACTGTTGGCGTCACCACAAACTCACGGTTCCTGCATTCGGTGGCTGGACCGGTCCAAGGGGATCTTCAAAATCGAGGACTCTGTCAAAGTCGCGCGGTTATGGGGGAAGCGGAAGAACCGTCCGGCGATGAACTACGACAAGTTGAGTAGGTCGATAAGGCAGTACTATAAAAAGGGGATCATGAAGAAGACGGAACGCTCGCAGAGGCTGGTCTACCAGTTTTGCCATCCTTACAACTTGTAAGACAGTCGTTGTACATAATTTATTTATTTTATTGTTAGGGGTTAACGCGGGGATGGTGTAGGTCTTCGTTTGCATTTTGAAGTTATCAGAATGCAAGTGAATCGGTCTTTCGTAGGGTATTACTACGAAAGTTTTTTTCATGTAAATAAGTTCAAGATGCGGAAGGTAATTTCCAAACTTTTTGACATAATTTAAGTAAAATATTTGCCGAAGAGTAGGAGCTTTGTGGGGGAGTTAGAGTGGTACCTCGCGGTTGTTTGATGCTCGGGTTTAGGCTTTTGAAGCTCGACGACCGTAAGGGGTGGCGCTTGTCTCCAGGAGCTTCGAAAATCGGTGATTTTGGTCCCATATATCTATGATATATTAAGTAAGTAAGTTCTATGAACAAATATATTTTTAATTTGAATACTCATGAGCAATCCAAATAAGTACTCAGAATATAGCAGGTGCTATATTGCTGTGGTTAGTGTTTAGAGTTTTATAACTGTTAATTTTAATTTATTGTTAATTGTTTTATGCGCTTTGATAACATGTTGTATGTTTATTTTTATAGTTTTTAAAGATCTATTGTATAAATCATTTTAATAAATCTTATTATTTTTGAACTTTTCTTTGCTCTTTTACCTAATACGTGTCTGACGAGGTGTCTGATCATTATTCTTTGGCCGCGTTTGTACAATGCTAGGCAACCCAAAATACATCGACAGCTTGCGACGTAGACAAAAGATAAAGAATTCACACAATAAAAGAGAAGTGTCAGTGACTACTAATTTATTATTAATATTTAATTACAGTGTATTTACAGTTTAATGTTAAAATAATAGTTAAAAGCCTAACATAAAATAACAATAATTTACAGACTTATTTACAAAAGCAAAATAAAATAAATTTTTGGAGTATTTTCTATCAGCTCTGGTTGCCTATGATTATGACTAAAACAATAGACTTAAATAAAACAAAATAATAAAAAACAATAATAGGAAAAAATTTATCACGTCGAATCAGTTGACTAATAACATTCCCATGAATCTAAAACTGTCCATCGTGCTATGCAACAAATAAAGTGAGCAAGTATATGCAAATTAACACAATAAATAAGTAACAGTTAAATTATAGCACTTGTTCTTCATCCTGGTCTAGAAGAAGTGTTTGAAGAAACTTGCATCAGAGAGCCTACTACGCGAGATCCGGAACCCAATAAGGACTGGAATCCTGTAGCAGCACCCTACAAAAGCAATTAATCATGAATACAGTTCGTTTTTACACCTTGTAGCTGCTATACAATGAAGCATTAGAAGTATGGAAATCACTGCTCCAAGGATTTGTAAAAGAAGAAAGAATTGGAAAAAAGTTGAACAGATGAAAAGAACACAGCTTTGCAAAAATGTATCCTTGGAGTAGTCTACAGTCTTTATACATAGAATTCTGTGTGACTTTAATTGTTGTTCTAATTTTATAACATTAAACCAAAAATAGAGTGTCTGTGTAGTTCTAACCGCTCAAGCCACACAAAAATCGTCAATGAAGTCAGTTCTAGTGTTGAAGTAAGAAAAACAAAATAAAGTGTGACGTGTGTAAAAGTTTTTTTCTGAAATGTGAAAAGTGTTCTTGCTCTTCTTACTACAAAAGATGGTTTAGTTCATGAACATGCTTCCGAACAACTCGCAATAGTTAATTGATGTCAATCGATGGATGAGATTATGACTTGTGTTATTTGAACGTGCTCATGCTTTCAATAATTTACCATTTTATAATTTAAAAATCCTAACTAGTCGCGCTAAAACGCGTTAAATTGGTCAAAGCGGAACTAGAACCGAGAGAATTTCTCAAATCAGTAGAACCGTTTGCAAAAAGTCTTGTAAACTGTCGAGCTGCATCCTGTAAAAACAATTAGTAAGAAAAGAGTTCTAATCTACAGAGTTTTAACGAAATTAGTGATTTTTACCTGTAATGCGGTGCCCAAAAATGAAGAAATAGCTCTTGTGACGTTCACTGCAGCATTGATAAGTTGTCCTCTAACCAGAGTGTCGTCATCTTCGATTCCGGGGACTGGTCTCAGTCTGACTGGTTGTAAAGTGACCTTAGGTCTGGTGGTGGTCGTAGCTACATCTTCCTCGGTTATGCTGTTGCTAACGCTTGCAGGAACTACCGTAGTAGATTTAATAACGCGACTTTTACCCTTTCTTTTCGGAGTTGTCATAGGTGTAGTCTCTCTAGTCGTGGTTCCAGTAGTTCCAGAAGACGTAACTTTAACTCCTCCTTCCGTATTAATCAAGGTCTGCAGACTCTGAATCGACGAAAAATCTAACTCTTTCGCACTCTGTGGATCTTTTTGTATGTTCTCCAGTTGCTTAATCAACTTCTGAATGTCATTCTGCGACAAAGAACTAACAATATTCTGACGTGGAGCTGCAGTTACCACTGGAGTTATATGAGTTGGCTGGTGTGTCAACAACTCCTCTGGTTTCTCTTCGGGTGTGGGCTTCGGCTTAGGTTTTGGTTTCGGTTTAGGCTTAGGTCTTTTCGTCGTAGGAACAGGAGGAGATAAAACGTTGAGCAACCAATTCAAACTCTGCATTAGCGGACCTGGTCTCCTTGTCGTAGTTCTAGGTTTCTTCGTAGTTGTAGTTGTCAGACTGTAAACGTCTTCCAGGACTTTTGGTGTTGTGGGACCAATTCCTTGATCTTTTAGTAAGGCAGCGATGATGGCGTCATTGCTGTTACCATACTCGGTTGTGATTGTCGAAGGAGTTGCAATGCTCAGTTGTCTCACCAGTTGCTCGACAGTGTGTTCACCTGATGCAGAGATTTTCTTGCCTTGGCGTTTCTCTTGGACGTAAGCAGATGAAGATCTTTGTCTTTCTTTGTCTTGTTCTACGGCTAGAGCAACGATCTAGTAAAAGTTTGTTCGGTTAGTAAAAGTACGTCGTGTTTCGTATAGATAAAAACTTACTCTGTTTGCTAAATCATTTTTCTCCGTTGTTGATTTCGTATTGGCGAAATTCTAAAACAACGAAGGTTAATAAAGTATGATTTGAAAAACTGTGAAATGGTTACCAAGTTGGTTAAAAATGCCAGTTGTTTTAAAATTGCGGCTTGTTCCATCTCTAGCTGTGCTAACGTTTCTAGATCCTTCTTCTGCTGTTCTGTTAATTGTTTAAGTTTTTTCGTTGGGTTGGTCGTTATCTCTGGAGGAGCGGTACTTCTCCTGGCGTTTCTCCCCGCGCTCGTACTCGGTACGGTTGTGGTGTACACAGTAGTAGTCGTAGGTTGAGTCGTGGTAATAGGTGTGGTGGTACCGCGTCTTCTACTTCTAACCGTAGTGCTAATTGGTAACGTAGAAAGAATCGTGGTTGTTGGTATCTCAGTTGTCGTTCGAATCGTCCTTCTGGTACTACTAGCCGTGGCTAAATCACCGCCGGTACTTATTTCAACTCGTGGAGTCGTAGTAGGTCGTGCTCTGTTCGATATCGGAGTTATAATTTCAACAGGTCCCTCAGTTGTTATTCTTCCCGGACGAAGAGTAGAAAATAAGGTTGTCAAAAACTGTGGGAAGAAAGTGGTCGATGGAAAACTAGTAGTCGTTCGGAATGTAGTGGTGGCAGGTTGCGATAAAGGTAGTACTGTGCTTCCTCTTGTAGAAACAAGAGTGGCAGTGGTTGGAGGAAGTGTCGTTGTTGGAACATTTGTGGTTGTTGTTGGAGGCACAGTTGTAGTAGTTGTTGGTGGATTTGTAGTAGTCGTTCTGACTGTTGTTGTAGTGGTGGTGGGTACCGCAGTTGTGGTAGTTGTAGTTGACTGCTGGGTCGTTGTTGGTACCGCAAATGTAGTAGATGGAACTGGATCGTCTAAAATTCTGTTCGAAAGTGTTGGAGTCGGTAAGGTTGTGGTGACAACTCTGCTCTGTAACAGTATCACGGTTGATTGAAGTGGCGTAATTAACAAAAAGAAATACGTGTTAAGTCGAACGATATTAGTATGTCAAACGTTATTTTTGTAACAGTAATCATGATTTATGTTTGTTGTCTAGTACAATTAGAACAGTGAGTTTGTCAATCGTTAGAGCTTTTGCCCTTACTTGTTGGAAATAGTACGTCGGACTTGTCACGGGTTTCCACCGGAAAATAACATTGGTCTTATGTTTAAGTTCGTCCGCATTTATAACTCTATTTGTCTATCAAAACATAGAAACCATAAAGAAGTGTGCACACTTATAACTACTACTTACCATTGGGTCAACGTCTAACGTTTGCGTTTTACTAAGATCGGAGATATTTATGATGCTGTTAAAAGCTTGCACTGTTCTTCCGTTCAGAATTTCAGTCAAAGTAGGCAGAGTGGCAGTGGGAGCAGTGCTAGTTGTCGTAGTACCAGAAGTCGTAGAAGTAGTTGGAGCTGCGCTACTACTGCTACTAATAGTGCTGGTAGAAGTGCTACTTTCAGTTGTTGTGCTGCTACTACTACTAATTGATAATGGGTTCGCTTGAACCGGAGGAGCGGTACTACTAGGTGTAGTTCCGGTGGTACTTGTTGCATTATTTACACTACTTAAAGACAACGGATTTGCCTCAAATGGTGGTACAGTATTTTGTTCGACCTACAAAAAGAAAGCTATGTTTTTTCAGGACATGACAGAACTTGTCAAACCCTGCTTGATGGTCTTGTGTTAATGGCGTGATGTGTACTGTTACGATAAAACTAACAAAAATAAAGAACTTGAAATTGTGACAGTGACGGTTCTTTATTTTTCTAAGTCACCTGAACTTACACTATACGTATTAGTTGTGCATAATCTACTTTACAAGCGTGAGAAATTAAGACACTCAAAAGCCATGGTATGTACATACATACAACATAGATACAACTGTTGAGATCAGGTGACCTGTGAAACAAATGAAACAAGCGGCGAAGCCCAAGCACCGAAAAGTTATTGACAATGAATACCGTTTGAAGATTTTTATTATCCGGTCGGCTGCCCTGGTCAGGTGTTACTTGGTTACTGGTTATTTCCGGTAAGGGTGGAGGATTTTCGCGTGTATCGAATCCGCTTACCCTTATGATAGGTTCCATTGGAACAAAGGAACCATTGGGGAACTTTCTCACTATGGTATTGTTAGGGTACACGCCGACAACAAGGTAAGGTGTTTCTTTATTCGGGAATCTACTCGGTCGTTTGCGTAATACAGTATTGTTATTCAAGACGGCGAAGATAAAATAGTCTTTGCTGCGGCCGGTACTGCTTTCGATAGAATTTTGAACGGGGTCCTGAATTATGTTCAAAAGGCGTCCTGAACGACCCGACGTTCTGGAGGTTATATTAGTTGATGGACTGACAGTGCTAGTTTGATTAGACTTTTCGGGCAAATCGGTCGTGTCGATGATGTTAGAGGAAATGTCCTGAGTGGTGTTACTGGCAGCGGCGGAATCAGTAGTGGTTGGAGCTAATGTGGTAGTAGCAGGAGCTGATGTAGTACTAGCAGCAGATGACGTAGTACTAACAGAAGCTGATGTAGTACTAGCAGTGGCTGATAAACTGGCAGGAGCTAACGTAGTACTAACAGGGCCTGATGTACTAGTAGGGGCTGATGTAGCACTAGCGGGAGCTGTTGTAGTGATATCAGGAGCCGATGTAGTAACAACAGGAGTTGTTGTACCACCCGCGGCAACTGTTGTAGCAGCCGCAGGAGCTGATGTCATATTATCAGGAGCTGAGGTCGTATTATCAGGAGCTGAGGTCATATTATCAGGAGCTGATGTCATATTATCAGGAGCTGACGTAATACTATCAGGAGCTAATGTAGTATCAGCCACAGTATCGACAGCTGTTGCACTAAGAGGAACTGGAACAGCACCTGCAGTCGTCGTACTAGGACTATCGGTAGTACTAGAAGATGAAGTACTACTAGCCACTGTAGTGCTTGGAGGAATAGTGGTAATCGAAGGTAGTGTACTGAGGTCCATCGTGACACCCTCAGTTGTAGTAGTAGAAGGTGTGGTACTAGTGACAGAAGTACTATTTTCTGTCACGTTAGAATCACCAAAACGACCTTCGACGCTCACACTAGTTTGAATGGTTGTGTTACTGTCAGTAGAATTAGGGGTAAGAGTAGTAGTTTGAGAGGCAGTTGTGACTTCAGTGCTTGTGAGAGACTCAGGAAAATTAGCTCTACCGGAAATGGTTACAGTACTAAGAATATCGTCTGGTGTTATAGCATTAGAGATGTCATTAGCAGAGAAAACAGATACGCTGCCTGGACTTACTTCAAAATTGATAAGAGCTGGTAAAGTTGACGGAAATACAACATTGTTTTCATTATCAATAGCAAAATCAGTAGTTGCTAAAGTCGAACTGAGTGGTGTTGAAGAATCAAAAGGAGTTGTGGTTGTTGATTCTGATCCCGAACTTAGAGAAGTGAGTGACGAAGAGTCGGTACTTGACGGTGTTTCAGTTACACTAGACAAACTAGTAACACCCAAGTCTAAAGACAAAGGATTCGCTCCGATTTCATTGGAAATTTCTGTGGTACTCAATACCGAACTCGTTGTACCAAACTCAGTCGATGTAAGTGTAGGTGGTTGTGTCGGTGTTGATGTTGGAAGTGAAGTTGACGTTGAAGATGGAGTTGACGTTGAAGATGGAGTTGTCGTTGAAAATATAAATGTTGTTGGCTCTTGTGTTGAAAGTGTGGTGTATGTCGGAGTTGTCGTGTACCGTACCGCCGGTAAAATCGTAGTTGTGTTCACTGTCACGTTCGGATTTGGCGTAACGTTTACTCTTGAGCTCAACGACACGCTCGGACTTGGACTCGTGAACAGTTGGCTTGTCGTTGATGTCGTGGTTGTTGTGGGCGGAGGTGTTGGAGTCGTCGTGGTAGTAGTAGTAGGTTCTGTTGTCGTAGTGGTAGTACTACCGACGATTGTGGTCGCTGCTGTCGTGGTGGTTGCTGTGGTAATGGCACCAGTCCCAACTACATAACTGGTGGTTTTCGGTGTAACAACAACTAATGGTGTGGGGTATGGGCTCGGCGACGCCAAAGTGTTGAGGAGAGCTAACAACTTATCTATGGTGCGCTTTTGCAAAATTTGTTCATTCGAAATCTCATCTAATGCATATAAAGGATTCACAGTGGTGCTGATTGGTGCATAAAGCGTAGATTTAGTCACTCTAGTGAGAGGTGTTGTGGACGGAGAACTAATTGTATTAAAGTTTGTACCTACTTGTTTCGATTTAAAATGTTTAGTGTCCGTTGTGTTATCAGCTTGGATAGCCGACAAAGAACTGAGAATTCGTTCGATGATAGTGGTGGGTTTTTCGCTAGTCACTGTCACCGTGGGAATTTTTTGGGTGGTCGGGATTTTGTCAAGTCTTGTCGATTTTTTGGTGGCTAACTTTAAGATAGCGGATTCTTTAGTCTGGGTCTCGTACGAGGAAGTCGTCTTTTTAGTCACGTCGGGTACCTCAGTCGTGGAAATGGCGGTAATGGAATTAATGATTCTTTCTATGATCGAAACAGGTTTTTCCGTGGTCTTGGTTTGGGATGCCGATACCTTGGGGAAGAAATTTTCAGTTTTATGCGAAGTCTTGTTGTTTTGCCAAATTACCAAGGGACTAGTAAGGTGGTTTTCGGTCGAGGAAGAGAGATATTCTCCGCTAACTAGATTTGCTGAGGGTACCGTATTCACAGGGTCATCGAAACTGATTACCTCCACTCCCAAGTCTTTATCGTGGTATGCAACTGATGATTTTACCTGCAAACGTTTCGAGATTAAACCCTGGGGAAAAGGACGGTTGGAACACCATGGTCCAAATGGTTAATTATCAGCAAACAGCGTGCAAACCGCCGTATTTACATACCTTACTTGAAAAAATAAAAACAAAGGTCCTGTTTGTGATGCTTTTATTATAAAATGTGTGTATTTATAAAAGTATAAAAAAAATAAAATAGTACACCTCTTCTTAAAGCTATCTTAAATAGAACGGTACACAAAATACTTGTATCGTATTCATACTTTGTTACTGGCTTTGTTCACTGTGACGGTTCAGAAGAGGTAGTTTGATAAATACGGTCTGAGTAACCGGAGGCCAGATAAGTATAAATATCTGTACATGTACTTACTGTAAACTTAAAACCCACACCAGTGATATATATTGTATCTAGGGTTATATTAAACAATGTAGAAGAGGAGTGGAAGCAGGTGATGAAGCAGTGAAGACACTTCTCAGTTTAAGCGTGAGAAAGACCAACTGTACTCAATATTTTCTTCTTCTGGCCAAACATATTCCTTAAGCAAAGATAAAGTTGTTAGAATGGGTGCCAAAAGTTGATTAATATTGGTGTGATTTAAGTCAAGGTGTACTATTTCACGTCAGAAGTGACCAGTCAAGGATCACCTCGTGCCTCAAAACCAACTTACCGAAGTCGTCGGCGGGGTGATGGTCGGAATGGTCGGCAGATACGCCGGGGCGTTGGTGCTCGTTCGAATGGCACCTCTTGAAGAGGCGTCGTTGCGATATCTCGAACTGTACCGATTCGATTTTTTCGAGATCGGAATCTAGAGCAATTTTTACATTACCACTGTAATATTTACGCAAGTTTCACTTTTACCTGTGCCGTTGTACTCTTGTTCTTTGTGTAACTTTCTTTCGTTTTTCGGCTGCTGTATACCCCTCGAGGAGGTTTCGGCGAGAAGCCCCTACCGGATTTCACCGGAGCGCTACTCGTAGCTTCTGGTTCGTTGTTAAACTTGGCATGGAAACGATGCTCGGGGGTCGGCGACGGCGCTGCGGTGGTAGATCGCGCAAATTTGTTCTTCCTTGGCGGTCTCGTGACCTTTTCGGTCGGTTTAACCGTTTTTTCCGTCAGTCTGGTGGGTTTTTCCGTCGATCTGGTGGTTTTTTCGGTAGTTTGCGAAAACCGACGTCTCGTGGTTCGCGAGGCCTTCGATGGATCCAGTTCGTTTTCGGAGTCTTCGAGCTGCGAAAATCATCAACACATATAAACTATGACAAAATAATCTGTTGCAACGTGGTACTTACTTCTTTATTAATCAAGCGTTCATTCGTATTAAACTAGTTTTACTAAACCACTTTCTCTTTTTAAAAGTTGTTACGTTAAGCAAGGGTCAAACTGAACCACACAATTGTTCGTATAATTTTACCTGGCGATTTGCTTCCGATGATATAACTTGCGTCGTTGTACTAGGCGAAGAGTTCACGACCTTCTCGGTGGTCTTCGTGACTGCTGGAGATGCAGTTACATGGCGTTGCGGCGACCTTGACTCCTAAAACATCCCGGGTCATTGTTATCCCATTATTCATTAAACAATGCTTACTTTTTTCTGCTTTTTAGCCTGAATTAACGCTTTGAAAGGTTCAGGGTAATTGTCGGTGTCGTCAATTTCTTCCTCAGAGCTCGTCAAACTCGACTTATTTTTCTTCACGTTTGACAGATTTACTTCAGACTTTTTCCCGCCTCGTGGTACGAATTTAGGTGCTTCCGTTTTAGGTCTCCCGAGTTTGTTCCTCGTTATGGTTCTTTTAGAAGTGACCTCGGTTATTTCAGAAACGACTGACTCTTTGATTAGCGGTTTGCTGGTCTGGAGGGTTGTTTTGATAGTCGGTGTTGTGGCCTTCGTACTTGCTCTTGTCGGTTTAGTGGTTTTTACAGGTGGCTTCGTAGTGGGTCTAGTTGTAGTTTTAACAGTCGCTTTGGTTGTTGGTTTAGTAGTACTTCTAACGACTTTACTGACGGTTTTCCTTCGTTTAACGCTTGATTCGGTTCTGGTTTCCACAATCACTGACTGTTTTGGGGGTTTAGGGGCAACCTTGACGTCATTTTCGGTAGCACTAGTCTCTACTTCTTCAGCAGAGTTAAGATTTCTTCTTCTAGCAACAAACTTCCTAACCGGTCGGACTGTTTTCGATTCTCGTTCAAACAGTGGCAGTACTTCTAGTTTTTGTTCGTCTATGACTGGTGGTACTTCTCTGGAACGCCCTCTCGATCGACTTCTTACTGTTGTTGTTTCTGGACCTCTTCGACTACTCGGTTTGCGTGAGGGTATCACATCAAGAGTGACTCTTTCCGGAGATTTAGACTCTTCTGTTCGTCGAGCGGCAATTCCTATTCTTCTACCGCTACGAGAGCGTGATGGTAATTCTACAGATTCAGCAGACGCAATGACTGAAGGTCCTCTAGTTCTAGCTTCCACGGTACGTGACCGTACTGGCTGGGCTACAGTTTCAGCAGTGGCAGGTCCTCTAGTTCTTGCCTCAACGTTCAAGCTTTCAGTTCTTCGTCTTGTCCCTCTATGAACCGTCCTACCAGAATGCGTAGGTGCGGCTTGTTCTTCTGGTCTTCTGGTAGCTCTTGCTCTTGAACGCGTACGAGAGGCAACAGTGGGAGCACTCGTAGCACTCGCACCACTCGCAACCCGCGACCTTCCGTTACTTCTTTTCGTCGTTCTGGTAGTCGATGGTGTCGTCGTATCCGGTTGCGTTCTACTAATCTCATTATCAATTTTTGATAGTTCGCTTGAAGTCAATTCAGACGGTTGCGGTTCCAAACTCGTCGACACAGTAGCCGACACCGGAATCGTGGTATCAAGAGCATCGCTCCCAATACTTTTAATAATATCATCAATGCTCTCTGTGGTAGACGGTTGGAACAAAGAATTCGAAGGTGGCAAATTCCTCGCTTCGTACTTGCTTTCCGTCAACACCTTCGCTTTCGTGTGTTTCCTGAACGTCTCGATCGGTACATCGTCGACGGCTTCGTCAACCTCGTACCCTCTTCTAGGAGGGACTTCCGAGTGACTCTCAGATCTCCTTCTCGACGCCAGCCGTCGAGCCACAGGCTCGGGACGTCTCTGGTCTTCCACCTGCGGCGACTCCGAAGTCGCCGTAAACCTTGCTCGGCCTCGTCTCGCGGTTTTCGGCGAGGGTTCGTTTTCTGATAACAGTTCAGACTTCTGCAAGAACAAGTTTCGTTATTTTATCGGCTTGCAACAACTAAATTAAAAACAAGGTCGCGTTACAAATTGATTGTTGCGATAAATCGTTACTCAAAAGCCCACTAATTTGTGAAGAGAGAAGAAAGTTGCAGTGGTGTAATTTGGAGTTTGATTGTATGCATTTTCTCGATAAAGCGATGAGAAGAAATCGGGTGGGCTTGCAACACCCATGAAAGGTGGGACAGGGCGCCCACGGACGACTTATTTCCTTGAGATTCTTTGGCGGTTTTGGGCGGACTGCATTTGCAAAATTGAAGAGAAACTAACTTGTTGCCATCTGAGATTAGGTTAGGTAATGTCAAACAACGGAGTCATCAAGTTAAATTTGTACATAGAAACTAACGATGACATGATAGCGACTGTGTGAAAAAGGGAATGTTATAAGTTTTTTTTTTAAGAAATAGCTAGAGAGAGTCATAGCATGACTACGTGGTAGTAACTTTACGTTCAGAGTGTCGACGTTGGTAGTAAATATCCAGCTTAATGACATAACTGGAGCGAGCGAAGCGAGCGCCACGCTTATATAAGTGGTTTTATGACAGTGAAAACAAAAAAAGCTTGTTTGCGTATAATGAATAAATTAATAATAAATAAAGGAAAATCACAGATTGGGACTAATTTTGTAGTCTTGGTCCACGAATTTGGGTTACGTATAATTAAGATCAGTTCCGAATTCCATCTAATGAACACCTTGCTGAAACAATCACCGTATCATGATTATCAACCTTGATTCTTGATTTGTTCTAAGTGCTGCTAATACCTTTGCGAAATCAAATTATCCAAGCGAGTGCCTACCACAATGCTCAAAAAATTCTCGAGCACACATGAAAGACTGATCACCTTGTACCTGCTACATTTAAATGTCAACAAGTTTGTTTATTATTCCGGTATAGTGAAGAAATAAAATCGAGGAGCAAAAAACCCGCTTTTCGTTAAGTATTTTTTCACGACATTGAAATAATAGCCGCGAACAAAGAACGAGTTCAACAGCGTTCCATTATTGTTCACCAGAAAGCATAAAATTGGCAATTTTCAAAATCCACGCCGACCACTTATCGAATCGCTGTGTGTAACTTGGTAACCGTGGTGAATTTCATTTCGCAAAGTCGCTAAATCGGAGCAGGTAACCTTTAGAAAATTTATTGTAGATACAAATCTCGATTTTCCTCCGGGTTTGTCCGCTGTTACGCCACTGTCCGGTTCCTAGTGAAACCCGAGGTGTGTTCATTCAAAACGTAATTGTAGTTCATCTTCTCTACTTGTTTTCCTAATTAGCTCAATTTCCACGTAATCGTTATCAGTCTTAATTGAGATACCGCAAGCCACATGCTTACGCGTTGTGAAAGTCTTTTTTTGTTAAAAGCTCCGACATAGAAAGTTTAGCTGTTGTCATATCGAATTTATTGTGCAAGTGCGATGATTTTTGAAACGACTATGCAAAAATCCAATTTCCTTAATTAAAATTATCGCCGCTTACGTAAGTGTACCTTTAATTGACCAGATTAAAAATAATTAAGCGCTTTCTATGCACCAGCGGCGACGAAGATTCCGAAAATTTCCAAAACATCGCGCCCTACGTACTCACTTTCGTTCCACTTACGCAACGCTAAGTGTAATTAAATCGCTAAAAATCGTACTTGCGTAACTTAGAAAATCCACAATCTAGCCAATTTTCCTGACGGACAAACGCAAGAAATGCGCCTGTTTCATAAGGCAAACATGCAATTATTCTATCTCTAGTAATTGAATAAAATAACAAGGTAACGCTCAAGATAATTTCAGCCGTCACTTCCAATTAATCCGATCAATTTCCTCTTGCAAAACGTCGCATTGAGGGTAGCTGCCAAAATCGCCTCATAAATCCTCAAATGCCAAGGATGCGAAACTACGTGCCATTAAGGGCAACATTTTTTACACTGATTTACTTAAAGTGGGTACTGATCTGCATAGAATGACATTTACGTTTATAGCGGTACGACATAACTTTATTGAAATCGCCGCCTTGACGCATCCTTTACTTTTCCTAAGTAAGTAATTAAAATTAATAACTCAGTATTGACCGCAATGTCGGATTTGTCGAAATAAAAGTGAAAGTGCACTTAAAAATGCTGAATTATGAATTATGTGCGTACGGTTCGCCTAATTATTTTGAACAATTTTTGGATCTCGAGGAATGGACTCAAGGATGAGCACGTCGATACTTGAAGACTAATTGCAGTCTTTAAGAAACATTAACATTTAAGTGCGCTTGTAATGCTTAAAAGCTAATTAGGTCGTTTGTAAATCACTTTGTCAAATCAAGTTAGAAAAAGTACCTGATAACAATTAAAAAATAACGTGATTTAAAACCGATGTGGGAGTCGATTATGAAGCACCTTTTAGCTTTTAGCGATCTTGGTACCGGATTGTGGCAACTGGTTTTTAATAATAAGTAGTTAAATATCAACGTGTATTTTGCTGGAGATATAGAAAAGGATAATTATAATTAAACACGTACTAGTTGAATATACATGACTGTAAACACCTAGTCGTTCTAAAAAGTTGTCACATAACGGTTCTATTTACAATTTAATTAACGAATGCAACTGCTAACAAACAGAATTTAATAGCTAGTTAGCTAAGTATATAAGTATATTGGGAGAGCGATCTACCTCGTAAATTTCACACTACGATATTAAAAATATTTTGGCAAATTTATTGCACTTTTAAACCTAAATATGAATGCTCGATTTTTTTTATTTAAGTACAATTTTATTGCCACCTTGAGTGTCTCTAAAATTTATGACCATTTAAGTGGCGAAAGTGCGTTTTTTTCGTTTGGTTCTTCTTCAAAACCTTAACTGTTTTGCTTGTTTTCAATAACTATAAGGAAGAGAAAGGTCGAGGTATGTCTTATTATTACATCGACGGTCTTATTTCTCCTTAATCTCTTATTAGCGAGTAAATTCATGTTGAGTAATTTCTACTCAAAGTAGTGGTTTCAATTAATGATAATTTTTTGTGTGGTTTCGTTTCACTTACTATTTCATCGGGAGGCAAGTGCTGTGCAAGATAGTGACATACACGGGTAATTTCACATTTACTTTGAGATAAGACAGTAATCCTTTTGCACAATTGTAGTGGGTTTGGTTAACTCGACGATCCATTTAAAAATGTTGTAAAAGTATGTAAGTACTGATAAGTGCACTCGTACGGCTGCTTGCGTAATGGTAATTGTTTGAAAAAATCACGACATTTCGACGATGTCCTACATTTTTTGTGCGGTCTTTATCTTTGAGTTACGACAAAAATATTCGTCTCTCCAAACTAAATGCACCTCAGAATTTGCACATGGAATTAAAAGGTTTCCAGAGATCGAATGCTTCAAACCGAAAGACGATATCATGTACCGTTTCGGAATTATGTCCTGTTAAATTTGAAAAAAAGGCTATTTCTTCAATAAAAAATGACACCTTACACATTCTCCACTTCAGGGCAAACGGATGGAATATCCGGGCTAAAAATCTGCTCATAAAACTAGAAAACTCAAAGGAATCAAATGTTTCTAACCGAAAGGCGATATCTCGTTCCAATTGAAAGTTGTGTCTTGTTAAATTTGAAAAAAAGCTGTTTCTGAGTCAGAAATGACACCTTCCTACATATTCGGCATCCCATACTAAACGGATCCAGCACCCGCTTTGAAAATTTGCGTGTAGAACTAAAAGACTTGAAGGAATCTAGTGCGTCAAACTGCAGTGCGATAGCTTATGCCGTTCTCAAGTTATGCCTCGTTAAATTTGAAAAAAGGTTCTTTTTTAAGTCAAAAAATGACACTTTCCGACATAATTGTCATCTAATACTCAACCGATCCTGTACTCGGTATAAAAATTTGTTCACAGAACTAGAAAACTTCAAGAAATCTAATGCTTCAAACCGAAAGGCTTCATCTTGTGCCATTTGGGAGTTAAGTCTTGTTAAATTTGAAAAAAAGGCTGTTTTTGGGTCAAAAATGACACCTTGCTATATATTCACCATCCTATACTAAATGGATGTAACCCCGCTTTGAAAATTTGCTTGTAGAACTAAAAGACTTCAAGCAATCTAATGCTTCAAACCGCAACGCTGTAACTTAAGCTGTTCTGAAATTATGTCTCATTAAATTTGAAAAAAGGTTATTTCTTAAGTCAAAAGTGACACTTTCCAACATAATCGTCATCAAATACTAAACGGATCGTGTATTCGGTACAAAAATTTGTTCATAGTACTAGAAAACTTCAAGAAATCGAATACTTCAAACTGAAAGTCTTTATCTTGTGCCATTTGGGAGTTGTGTCCTGTTAAATTTGAAAAAAAAAGGCTGTTTTTGAGTCAGAAATGACACCTTTCTACATATTCGCCATCCCATACTAAACGGATCCAAGACCTACTTTGAAAATTTGTCTGTAGAACTAAAAAGCTTCAAGGAATCTAGTGCTTCAAACCACAATGCAATAGCTTATGCCGTTCTCAAGTTATGCCTCGTTAAATTTGAAAAAAGGTTCTTTTTTAAGTCAAAACATGATTCTTTCCTACATAATTGTCATCTAATACTCAACCGATCCTGTACTCGGTATAAACATTTGTTCACAGAACTAGAAAACTTCAACAAATCTAATGCTTCAAACCGAAAGGCTTCATCTTGTGCCATTAGGAGTTGTGTCTTGTTAAATTGGAAAAAAAGGTTGTTTTCGAGTCAAAAATGATACCTTCCTATATATTCGCCATCCCATACTAAACGGATCCACCACCCGCTTTGAAAATTTGTCTGTAGAACTAAAGGCTTGGAGGAATCTAATGCTTCAAACCGCAATGCGATAACTTATGCGGTTCTGAAGTTATGCCTCCTCAAATTTGAAAAAACGCTCTTTTTTAGGTCAAAAAATGACACTTTCCTATATAATCGTCATCCAATACTGAACGGATCGTGTATTCGGTATAAA